CATCGTTCAAAAAAGACGACTGCCAAGAACTTACAAATTATAGGCCAATTACACTTATACCAATATTTTCCAAAATATTTGAAAAAGCGATGTACTCTCGAATGTATAGTTTCTTGTAGAAATATAAAATTATTCGAGAAGAACAGAATGGCTTTCAGAAAGAAAAATCCCAACTCTTGCGGCTTTTTCTCTTCTGAAAAGAGGAACTGGGTACATAGACAAGAAAATACCAGTCGTTGCTATATTTTTTGACATGTCTAAAGCATTTGATTGCATAGATCACAATATCCTTTTGGACAAATGCGAAAGATATGGGATTCGGAGATTCCTGCTCAGAAATGGATTGAAAGTTACCTTAAAAACCGTCTTCAATGTGTGGAAGTGTCACGCGTTAAAGAAAATGCCACAGTAACGCCACACAGATCAAAACTTTAAAAAAACCAGTATGGTGTACCCCAGGGCAGTATACTCGGTCCGCTTCTCTTTGTCTTATACATTAACGACCTTCCATCAATAACACCCCATGAATCTACCCTTTTTGCCGATGACATTTCTATAATTATACCTAAGATTGACATTTACTGCAATTTTGATACAATTCTAAATAATAAAGTAAAATCAATAATGACATGGCTTGAATCCAATAAATAATCTATGTGCTAATATATCAAAACAAAATTTATTAAATTTTTTAATTATAAGACACCACACGAAACTCTAAATATCGAGTACCGAGGTGTAGTTCTATCTGGGGTAGCTGATACCAAGTTTTTAGGTCTATACATAGACCAACACTGTAATTGGAAAATACATATCCAAAATGTCTGTATGAAGTTGAATAAATTTGTATTTGCGCTCAGAAATCTACAACACATTGCTGGCAAACATGCAGCGAAAATTGCTTATTACGGATACGTGGAATCTGTGCTACGATACGGATTATGGGGACACTCAACAGATATAAATAATAATTAATAATATTAACTTTATTTCTCCTCACAATGTTTACAATTTTGGATTTATTACATTTGACTTCCGTCATCGATTTCACTTATGTAGGTACTAGTAGGTAGGTATACATTTACGTAGAACATTTATCTCTGTGTTAACATGTGAGGAGCTGGTGTCTGAGATAGGCATGGATTTGCCTGTAATACAGATCACCAGGTCCCCACCCCATGAATACAAATAACATTACAGTAAAATTCCAGATACGTTCATGTTGCTAATTATAAAGTTAATAAAACATACTAATAATGTTATATAACAGTTATTATTTTAACTAACTAAAAAAATAAATAAACATAAAACATACTCAATAACTTGTAACTTGATAAATAAATACTTTAGTCTCCTTAGCAAGCACATCAGAGAAACACAGACCGAAAATCAAAGCATAGAGGGTAGAAATGGATGTTTACTTCACTTACTGAAGAAGTTTTTCTGTGAGATCATAACTCAGACTTTTTAAGAAATTTACAACAACTGCTTTGCATTTTAGTTTTGTTAAAGGGTATATTTCTAAGACTCTGTTTAATTTGTTATATAAATGTGCACTTTGATAACAGAAAAAGCGTTGGGCAAAACTTGTTTTACACATTTGTTTCGTACAAACCTTGTCTTTACGGCGCAAGTGACAGGATGTTGTCGGTTCATATTTGGTAAAGGAATGTTGCTTAAGGACGGTGTGCAATATGAAAAGTTGTCGAACAGTCAATACTTCCCATTTTTTGTACAATTCACTTGTTGGATGGTAAAAGGGTAAAAAGTGACTTATTTTAAGGATGGCCCTCTGTGCTCTTTCTATTTTCAAAAGGTGCGTTTTAGTTGTTCCTCCCCAAACGGTAATACAGTACGTTAACTGTGATTGACAAAGAGCAAGGTAAATTGTTTTTAATACTATTGCGTCGGCAACATGTCGCAGACCTTTAAAAATCGCCATGAGCTTCCGCATTCTAGTTGTAACAAGATCTATATGACTTTGAAAATTTAATTTGTTGTCAATAATTACACCCAAATATTTTATCGATACGGTACTTTGTAAGGTGGGGCACGAACTGCAACCAATAGTTAGATGACAGCATGAATGGGATGTTACTTTAAGTGAGGGGTCCGGTATGTCTGCATTTGTCAGTGAAAAAGTCAGTAGTTTTGTTTTTTCGATATTTAATGTTAGCACGTTTTGCTGCAACCACGAAGTAACAGTATTGAAGCCCGTTTGTGCGTTATTAAACGCATCTTGCCACGAATACCCAGTACATAATAAAACTGTGTCATCAGCATATGTTATTATTTTAGTCTGCGGAAGCTCAAGTCGACACAAGTCGTTAATGTACACACGGAATAAGGACGGCCCAAGGATACTTCCTTGAGGAACACCGAAATATACTGTTTCCTCATCGCGAGTAACATCCCCAATCTGTACACATTGCGTTCTTCGCGTAAGATAATCCTGAAACAACCTAAGCTGTATTCCTCTAATTCCCATAGCTTCAAGTTTATTCAGTAACGTTGGAACAGAGACTGTGTCAAAAGCTTTTGCTAGGTCTAGGAATATGCCTATAGTTTTCTTTCTTGAGTCTAGGTTAGCAACAACATGATTTATAAGTTCAAGAACAGCGTCGGACGTAGATTTGTTTTTCCGGAAGCCAAATTGAGATTTTGAAAGATGGTTATTTTTTTCTAAGTAACTGATCAGTCGTGTGTTAATGATACGCTCTAAAATTTTTGACAGTGTAGGTAGAATCGATATTGGTCTATAATTGCTGACACAGTCTCTGCTTCCTCTTTTATGAATTGGAATGATTCTTGACTTTTTATACGCGTCAGGAAAAACTCCGGTTGAGAGGGACAGATTACAGATGTATGTTATTGGAGCCGTTAAAGTATTTACATTTGCTTTAATTATGATACTAGATATTCCATCGATACCCACTGAGCAATCACTCTTTAATCCTGTTATTATTCTAGACACTTCTTGATTATCAGTTAGCATCATTACAAATGAATGCCTACATGTATTTTTATAGTTGTGTTGAGCTGTGTGATTCATCTTCTTGATGTTGGCTGCCAATGCCCCACCTATACTCGCAAAAAAACGGTTTACATAATTAATGGACTGTTTGGGGTTATCGCTATCTATCAATTGGATTGCTGGTTCTTTCTTCTTAGTATCATAAGTAAGCTCCTTGACAGTCCTCCACAACTGCTTGCTGTCATTTTTTGCACGCTGAATCAACATCTTTTCGTAATTTCGTCTGAGCTTTTTTAAGATAGACGAACAGAAATTTCTATACCTTTTATAAGTGACACTAACCGTCTTATTATAAAACGTGGACTTAAAAAAGTACCGGCTTTAGTACTAGGTTTAAACCATGACCTTGAATAAACGTTATTACAAAACGAAGTTTATCGCTAGTCCTAGAACTATCTATGGTATCAAAGTTAGACCATCGTGACCCCTAGTTTAACTATGGTACTAAATTGTCAAACGTCAAATTGTTAATTTTGAGGTTTGCTTTCGGAAAGGAATTTATGATCAGAAAACCAAAAATGGATATTGATGCAATTGATATGTTTGATTTGGAAGATTTGAATGTGTTGGATATACTAGAAAGTTCCCGGGGACCGAACAGAGTTCGTCAGCGTCGAAATCCATTTGAATTACCTGATGAAGATTTTCGGTATAAATATAGATTTAGTAAACGTTTTGGCGAAAGGATTGTCGATTTATTACGTGAAGATTTATCCCACGATCCTCGAGGATGTCCGTTAAGCCCCGAAATGCAAGTAGCTTGCGCACTACGCAACTGGGCTCGCCATGAAGTAAGTTGGTACCTTGTAATGTAATTATGGCTAATGTGCGTCATCAATGATGTATTACTTTATAATTGTTTTTTTTTACAGATTCAAGACGATACTAGTGACTTACATGGCGTATCTCAGCCAGTTATAAGTAACACCTGCAAGAAAGTGGCAGGAATTTTAGCGCGTATGTCGCATAGGTTTATAAAAATGCCTAGTACATTGGATGAACAAGAAGCAGTGATGAGGAAATTTCGCAGTATTGCGGATTTCCCAACTGTAATAGGTGCAATTGATTGCACCCATATTCATATTAAAAAAATAAGAACTGATAAGGGTCAGACATACATTAAAAGAAAAGGTTTTCCATCAATCAATGTGCAGGTAACTTTGATTTTTTTTATTTATAATGGATACAAACAAAGCTTATATTTTTATTTATTTGTTGGTAATGTAATGCACTGTAAAACTGTAAAAATTCTCCTTTCAGGTGGTTTGCAATGCTGATTTAAAAATCATAGATATTGTAGCTCGGTGGCGTGGCAGTGTCCATGATTCTAGAATCTTTAGGGAGTGTCGCTTGAAGCAAAGATTTGAATCTGGAGCGTTTTCTGGCATCCTCTTAGGAGACAGTGGATATCCGTGTACGCCATACTTGTTTACCCCACTGCTGAACCCAAGAACAGAAGCAGAACAACGGTATAACAGGAGCCATATCCGTACACGGAACACTGTGGAAAGATGCTTTGGTCTGTGGAAGCAACGTTTCCGCTGCCTACTAAGAGGCTTATATGGGGACATTGAAACAGCTAGGAAGACAATTGTAGCATGTGCAGTTCTTCACAACATAGCGATAGACATGCAGGAAGATTTATTTCCTGATGATGTCAGCAATGAGCAATCCTCTAGGGATTCAATACCAGTGCAGCCAGTTCAAAATTCAGTACGAGGGAATATTAGAAGAAGGCAGTTTATTGAAACTCACTTTTCATAAAATAACATTTATTATATATAACTATATTTCTTTTTTGTGATATTCATGTATGTATATGTTTAATACATATATTATATGAAGGCTAAAATAAAAGCTAATGACCTTTTTTCATAAAGATAATTATTAATAAATCAAACATAAATTAAAAGTAACTATTATCTTTAAGAAAATGCTAAAATCAGTCCTATAATACTAATGATTATTATGGGGAATATATAACCAGAAGGGGGTACCTGCAAATAATTATGTTATATTATTATGTGATTGTCAATATATTTGAAGTATTTTAATCAGTAGGAGATAGATTACATTAGTTATTTATTTGAAACTCTTGACTGAACAATTTATACTTATTTTAATTATAAATTGTATTGATATCAGTCAAAAAGTGTAACTTACATTTTATTCTTTAGTAATGGTGTTAGTTTTTATCTGAGTCTCCAATAGTGCTATTTGTAATTGTAGCTTTTTAATTTTTAATTTTGAAATTTCAACTTGATAGAAGTGCTGGGCTTCCAACATAGCAAGCTGCTTTTTTTTAAATTCTGTGTTACTATTTATAATAGCTTGACGCCCTTCTTCATTTCTGTAAAATAAATTCTATATTATTATGTAATAATTAGACTTATTATTTTAGTGTGGTAAGCTTTATTTATATTTTCGTGGTTCCTTGATTGAAATAAAATATATTAAGTATTAAGACATTTATTTTAACAAACCTATTTAGGGAGGCGGTTTTCCCTTTTTTCTTGTTTTTTGGTTTATTTTCTTCTATTTCTACACTACTTTTTGTTTGCACAGTTTCACTGGTGTAGATCACTGAAAATAATAAATAATATTAATGAAACTAACCTGTATTTTTTCTTATTATGAAATTTTTATACCTTGTTTTTCTTCAATACTGGACTCTACATTTTCATCACTTATGATCACTACAATTGGTTCTATTGAGCTATGGCCAGTATCAGGGTCTTCAACTATTGCTGTTGTTGTATTTGTCATCTGTAACAGGTAAATGTTTAGTAAATTGTCATCATATTATACTCTCCACTATTGTTAACTTTTACTTACCACTGCATCACTGTCACAGTCACACACGTCTACAACAAAGTCATGAGGAGCAATAGCCATGACTTCCAGGTCCTCTGGAGAAGGTGACGGGGGCTTGTTGCCACCTCCTGTTTTGGACTGCTCTCTCCTGTGAAGAGACAAGTTTGCCTTGGCTGCCAACTTCATTCTCTTCCAAGCCAACTTTATCTCTTCTACAGAACGATTTTTTCCGGCGATTTCATTTAGTCTGAAAAAAAATCATGTTAATTTAAATATCATGGTCACGATATCGTAATATAGCAAAAAATAATTAAGTATTTACTTATTTGCTACATTGTTTGTTTTCGTCGACTTATCTTCGAGTATTTTAGCCGACTCGGCAATAAGTTGACGCAGTATATTCTAGAATGAAATTTGTATTAATGTAAGTAATGTGGCATAGGTATATAGTATATATAGTTTATTTCATCAAATACTGTGTGTAGGTACGTAATCTAACATGTCAGTTACCTATCACTTATTATCACTCACCTTTTCTTCTGAACTCCAATTTTCACCCCTTTTTTTCTTTGCGTGTTCCATTTTCTTAAAATTTTAATGCACAAATGATCTCACCACTGTGCTCACCACAAAGAATACTGTGCCCAAAGAACTGGTCCTTTAGGTACTTGTAGTAACTATTTAGATTACATTACTCGAATTACGCGCGCCGTCCAGTTCACTCCGTTATACTCATACGTGCTAGCTCGGTAGTTGTTCCAAAACATAACATTAATAATTGGATTGTGAACATGCATTCAAAAAAATACAAGTCGGAATATTTAAATACCTTCAAATAACAAAACTTTAAATTTTACCGCTACAAATAACAATTCATAAAATGTTTTTCTTTATATTTCGTAACAATATTTTTCGGAAAGACGCGTAGAACGCTGAACGAATGAATGAATAATTTAAATATTTTGTTGCTTATAATCTGTGGAAAATGTTTAGTCCAGAGACGATCTTTGGTACTAAGTAGTCCTTTGTTGGTCTACGATTTGTAATAAGAATGAAAGAACTAACGTTAGTACCGTAATAAGCTTAGACCTTTTAGTTCTGGTTTAAACTTGGTACTTATGAAAGTTTTTATAATAAGACGGTAAGAGTTTCGTTGTTGGGTTCATTTTTTATTTTTTTTGTAGAGGTTATCTCGATTTCTGAGGCATTTAAGAACTCCAGCAGTGATCCACGGTTTAGTATTTTTTTACGCGTGGGTATTTTAAACCGTTTTGTATTAGCCAGTATGGTTGATTAAAGTATATTTTGCAAGAAATTCGCAGCTTCATTTGCATCCTCTATAGCATACAATAAACTAAAATCAATTTTTTCAAGATCCGTGTTTACTTTTTCATAATTTATACGGATGACATCTTTGACTGTCTTTTTTTCGCAACTAGTTTCAAGATATAGGGCAATGCTGTTATGATCCGTAACAGATGTCAAATTAGTCTTTAACATGACGTGATCCAGGCAGGTTTTATTATGTGTCGGGATCATGTATGCCGGTTGAATACCATGAAAAGCCAACATATCTAGATATGTAGAACGATTTGCGTCGATGCTGTTAGTGCTAATGTCTATATTAATATCACCCAATAGTATGACGTTTTTTATTAACGAATATTTGGATATCAGATTATTCAACGATTCGATAAAGTTGTTAACGTTTTTATATCCAGGAGGCCGATAAATGGCGAATGCTACGGTGTTATTGTTTACTTTTATCAAGAGGAAATTTGCTTCAGCTATCTGACATTCCTCAGTCCTCAATCCAGAATTTCGTTTATAGTATACCACTACCCCCTCATTTTGTGTAACATTTTTGGTTGTAGCTACATAGGTATAGCCATCAATATTTGGTATATAGTGCGTGGATGGTAACCAGCATTCGGTTAAGATGACATCCCAGTCTTCGCCTATTCTAACAAGTATAGGTAATAGACCTTGTAGGTTACATTTGACGCTGCGAATATTTTGCTGTAGGATTTTTATAGATTTGTTGGTAGTAAAACGTAAATTTAGACAGTCTTCAGCATCGCAGACTGCAGTTTCAGATACATTAAAAGTGTCAATTTCACTTTGAATAGTATTTAACTCATTGAATTTTATAATTAATTATAATCAAGTCAATACATAGTAGTACACATTTTAAATAAACAGTAAAATTTCTTGTTGCGTTTCTAAGTATTATTGTTGTATATCTACTCATTTCTGCGAATCCTGGAGCTGGAGACGCAGTGTAATTTTTATGATTCTCTGCAATTTCAGGGTATGTGCAAAGGGATAAGGAGTGATAGAAATTTAAAGTATAACAACAAATAAAAGTAATAGTTAAAACTGGGAGAAAAGGAGGTAAACTTATTTTGTATGTTTTATGTTAGCAATTAATAATTTGAGAACTAAGACATAATTTTGGTGCGAAAACGTTATAAACTAGAGTGCGATAACAACTACTATAAGCACAGCATGCATAAAAAAGAGCGACAAAAGCTGAAACTAGTCAGATTGTTTTCTTAATGTGTTCAATATCTTCCTCACAACTTACACGTATACGAGGCCCGTTGATATTTCGCTTCAAATAGACCTTGCCAAAGGAAGTCCAGCAGCTTGCGAGGTTGTGAGTCTTAACTAAGTCCCTAGCTAAGTAGTGTAGTCGTCTGGCAGTTGCTGTTAGTGACTCAGAAACGTAAATAGGAGCAGCGGGACCCTTCATTCTCAAGATACCAGTATTCAAGCGTTGTTCACTAGATTTTTCCTTATTATATATCCGTATTGCTTTTAAGATACTTTCTTTTTTTAGGGCAGATACAAGTTTGACTATTATTGGACCAGTAGACTTGGCTTTGAGCTTTATCCTAAAAACATCACAAACATCCGAATCTTGAAAAGGAACGTTAATTTCAGCAACCAGTTTCTTCGTGACTTCTAATAAGCTATCTTTACTTTCATCTTCCAGTGGTGGGATGTTTTTAATTTCAAGTGCCGTGGAGCACGCATTGTTGTCGAGGTATTCAATTTTAGAATCCAGTGTCTTGATGTGTTTCTTTAAGGCATTGTTTTCCCGCCGCAGCCCATTCACAGTTTCAATCACATCATAGTACTTTTGAGACAAATGAACCACTGTAGTCTTGATTTCATCATTTTGAACAGCCAAAAAATTTATTGCTGATTCCAAAGAGCTAAACTTTTCTTCATGGAGGCGCTTTATTTCGTCCAATCTAGTCATTAAATCTGACAACGATAAGCTATCAGAATTTGATGGATTATTAAGTCGCCGCTTAGTTCTTTTCGCAACATTAGCTTTTGCGCTTTCCTGATTTTCTGCCGAGTAAAGCGCAGGGTCTGACACATGGTGCAATGGTGTGACAGTTCCAAAATTAGTTTTGTTTGGAGAGCGTTGAACGGACATAGTCAAAACCCGTTATCGCTAGCGCTTATGAAATTGTGGCAAACGCCAAAACAAGCAAAAGACGGGTGACTCACGCGCTGTGTGGCTGTCTAGAAAGGGATGGTGTTGTTGCTACTCCTGTTGTCTCCTTCGCGTGGCTGCCGTACACTCGCTCGCGTGTTCTGCGTGCCTGGTATTTTGCCGCAGTATTTTGATGAATTAATTTTAGAAAATCAATATATTATTGTAAACTTTTAAAACATGTGTATACGTACCTCCCCGTCCGGGGAGGAAGGAAATAAATAAAGCATTTATTTGTCAGAAGAAATGCATAAGAGCTTTGTGTGATGCAGGACCACTAGATTCATGTAGGCCATTATTTAAAAATAACAGTATACTCACTCTTACAGGCTTATATATCTTGGAAATTTGCGTACATGTGAAAAAATTCTCAATTGAATTCAATAGTGCTAGAGACAATTCAGTCATAGGTATGAGTAAAAGAGATCCCACTAGATTGTTAATGCCTGCATGTGGGAGCTCTTTTTTTCATAATAACTGTTATATAATGTGTATAAGAGTTTTTAATAAAGTGCCTAAGTCAATTCGCGAATTGCCACTGTCTAAGATATGGGCTGAATTAAAAAAATGGCTGATACAACAAACTTTTTATTGCATAAACTTTTCGATCGAATTTTTCGATCTTAAAGTCCGAAATCTTTAGAAAATTAAATTATAATTTTAATTAAATTTTAAATGTTGGACCATTTGACATTATTTATACTATTCTATTTTTATTTCCATGTGCCTAATGTTTGCATATATATAATAATGATTATTTTAATTTAGTTAAGCGTCTTAATTTTTTAATTTAAAGTGCAATTTTCATGTAATTTGATTTGTAATGTGATGTGCTCTAAATTTAAATTTGCATGCCAATATTGGCGAAATGTGTGATTCAGTACTCCATGTAACATCCATAAATGTACCACATTTTTTTGCAAATAAATTATTCTTATTCTTATTCTCAATTTGTAATTTAGTTTTTAAGTGTTTGGTTTTTGATTTTGAATTCTTCTCTTGTATAGGTATGCCTCCGACAGATTTTTGTGTTGCTGTCACTTTTTATGTTTGTGTATTTGGGAATAAAAAATAAAAAATAAAAGAGGGAGTGTTATAAATGTGTAATAAATGTTAACATAAAAATAAATCTTGTTTCCTAACAAACAAAGACAAAAAAAAAAAATTGTACCATTTTTTGCATGATGTGGTCGCCTGCTATTAAGGAAGCACACTAACTTGAACTTTGTAAACCTAATATTATATTTTGTTTTTTCGTGACCAATAGAAAAAAAAAATATTTTTGCTAGCGTCAGTTACTGTTATATATATCGGCGCAAAACAGTACACTACTTCGCCTATAAAAACGAGTGGCAATGCGCATACTAGGTCGTTCTCGCTCAAGCCGTCGGGCTGTTTGGATCTACGCACAACTGTTTGTGAGACCTTGGAATACATCTAGACATCGGTACTCCCTCATATATCATTGTTTTCATCATTACGTGAGGGAAAAGAACATTATTTTTTAGTAGACTCGGGTGCATTATTGTCAGCTTGTAATTATACACACGTACTCGAATGTAACATACCAGTTCATAAAGAGAGTATAACAATAAATGGATTGGGAGGTACAGGCCAAGCAATAGGGTGAAAATGTTTTTTTACCGTTGACAGTAGATGGTCAAAATATTGGTCATAAATTTTATGTTTTTAATAATTTACCGATTAAAGCAAGTGGAATTTTAGGGCGTGATTTTTTAAACAAATATAAAGCTCAATTAGACTTTTATAAAAATTAATATTATTTAACGGGAATTAACGCGATCTCTTATTTAGGGTATTACATACCCTAAATAAGAGTGATTTGGAGTATATACAGAGGGAGTCATATGCGTTACAATTAAAGTGCAGTGTTAATCTATCTCAATCGGACTATGATTTGTGTGACCGGGTTACGTTTTTACAAGCGAGTCGTACCTTCGAGTTATGTAGTAAAAATTTTGATCGAAAGTTCTCGAAGGAATCGACGGTATACAGAAAATAAAGCGTCACCCGGGGTACCCGAGAGATCGAAGGACACCGTTGTAAACTTGTCAAACGTGAGTTTAGATCATACAACAATGAACATCTTGGCTAAAGGTATGAACTTCGCTCCGACACCTAAACGAATACCGTTCGAGAATGTAATCAGTAGCGTCGAGGAATCGATTACACGGAACAAAGTACCGCCCGGCGATGCCGATATCCTAAGACAGGACGTTGCGGTAATATTACGTCGGTCAAAGCTTCCGGCTAGTAATATCACTATCGAAGAGCGTCAAGCACTAAAAAACATTAGGGATAACCAGGATATTTTAGTGCTTAAGGCCGACAAGGGAAACGCTACCGTAGTGATGAATACAACTGATTACAAAAGCAAAATACTTGAACTGTTGAGTGATAATAAAGTTTATAAACCGGTAACATACAACCCCACGGCCAGAGTAACGCGAAAAATACGATCTCTAATCCGGGACAATGAGGACCTATTTTCAGAAGACGAGTACAACAGACTGTACAAACCAAAGTCACACCAGCCACCGAAATTATATGGTCTGCCTAAGATACACAAGCCTGACGTACCGCTGCGGCCGATTGTAAGTCAAATTGCTTCTCCTACTTACGATCTAGCAAAGCACGTTGCTTCAGTATTGCAACCACTTATAGGCAAAACACCGTCTTTTGTGAAAGACTCACGGCACTTCATACAAATCATAAAAGATCTGACGTTGGAACCGGATGACGTCATGGTGAGCTTTGACAATCGGTTAAACACCAGAATAGGGACTCATCGGTTTGCTTACAGAATAGGGACACTGTTAGTGTGGTATGTGACGGTACATGGCGACACAAAAATAATATCGAAAATGTGCGGGTAGATGAAGAGCCTTCTACTTCACGGATTCGACGACGGAGGGCGTGCGCCGATGAGCCAGTCAGCCTGTGACCACGGCCGGTGCAACCTGGTCGAAACGTCAGGCAAACCAGAGGTATGTAATACCCTAAATAAGAGATCGCGTTAATTCCCGTTAAATAATATTAATTATCATGGAACGCGAAAGTTTAAAAGTTTTATAAAAATATTGTAATTTTGCATATTAATACTAAATGTATTTCTTTGCCAATAGCAAATAAATGTAATGTAGAATTTAATATCCCTGCTAGATCCGAATCCATACATGATATACATACAGATATAATTGAAGACTGTGTAGTTTCTTCAATGGAAATAACTGAGGGTGTATTTCTAGCAAGTTCTATAGCTACTCCTCTGAATGGTTTAATACCAATTCAAATACTTAATGTCACTGAAGATGATATAAATTTAACGCAATTTCAAACAAATATTTGGAAATTGATATTTGTTCATTTCAAAAATCCGAAAATAATTCAGATGGAGTCAAACAATTATTACATTTGGTTAGGCTAAATCATTTGAACGGTCAAGAGGCGGCGCGCCTGGCCACAAGGGGAGTCTCCCTGGTGGTCGGGCGCATTGAGGCGCTGGGCTTACGGGTGGCCCTAGATAAGACGGAGGCTCTGTTATTTCATGGGCCCCGTCGTGGTCCACCCCCTGGCGCCTCAATCGTGGTCAACTCGGTCCTCGTACAGGTTCGGGCCCAGATGAAATATCTGGACCTGATCCTCGACGGGAGGTGGCTCTGCGACGAGCACTTCCGACAGCTTGCTCCAAAGCTGGTCGGCGCTGCGTCTGCCCTAGGGCGACTTTTGCCCAATTTGGGTGGACCCAGCGTCGCGACAAGACGGCTGTACACAAGGGTTGTCCGGTCAATGGCACTATATGGTGCACCGGTGTGGGCGGCGGCTCTGACCGCCCAGAATAGGGCACGCCTCTGGCGCCCTCAGAGGGTAATGGCGGTCAGAGCCATACGCGGTTACCGCACCGTTTCGACGGAGGTGGCGTGCGTGTTGGCCGGAACTCCCCCGTGGGATTTGGAGGCGGAAGTGCTCGCCGAAGTTTATTGGCGAGTGGCTGACTCCCGAGCGGAGAGCGGATTTCGCCCTCCGCCCGAAGACGTGCGCGAGTGGCGCGAAGCCGCTCGCCGAGCCACGATGGCTCGTTGGTCGTTCCGGCTGGAGTCTCCACGCGCTGGCTTCGCCGCCGTGGAGGCTCTCCAGCCGGTCATCGCCGAGTGGGCAGGGCGGCAGCACGGGACCCTTACCTTCCGGCTGACGCAGGAGCTTTCCGGGCACGGTTGCTTCGGAAAGTACCTGCACTCGGTGGCTAGGAGGGAACTGAGTCCCACCTGCCACCACTGCGACTGCAGTGAGGACTCGGCCCAGCACACGCTGCCGGTCTGCCCCGCATAGGCGACGCAGCGCCGGGCCCTCATTGCAGCCATCGGAGTGGATCTCTCGCTACCGGCCGTAGTACGCTCCATGGCCGGTAGCGACAGTTGTTTTACCGCGGTCGCAACCTTCTGCGAGGAAGTAATCTCGTAGAAGGAGGCGGCGGAGAAGGCCCGGGAGGACGACCTCCACTCGGACCCGGTGCATGAGGCGCGCTCACCTGCGCTTCATGCCGCCCTGAGTGTGGCCGCGGGTGGACGGGGTGGGTCTCCCCTCCACCCGCATTAGTTTGGCCAGCCGCGAGGGGGATGTCGCCTAAAGAGAGGAAAAAAAAAAAAATTTTTGAGACGGAGCCCGCAACAGGAGCGGGCCGGCGCTAGGAGGGGTCCGGATGTCTTAATAACAGCTGTTCCCGGATCCCTCCTATTACAGGCACAGAGTGGCACACCGTGTGGTTTTAGTCGGTCCGAGTCCGACACACCACCCCGCCGCAAACCCCGGTGGGGTCCACACGTTAAAAAAAAAAAAAAAAAAAAAAGATCATTTGAACGGTGAAGAACAAAATACTATTCAAAGTATTTGCGCAAAATATGCGGATATATTTTATTTAC